AACACTGCCTCACACAAAACAAGGTGTCAAGTTTTTACTTGTAATTGCTAAAGTAATACAACATTAACTTTATTGGTGAACCACAAGAAAAGATGCAAGAAAAGCAGAAAGTGAAGAGAGAAAGTCAAGGCTTCAAATAAAGAACAACAAAACATGTCAAAAATAAAAACAATAGTAGAAAGAAGAAGTAAGAATCAAAGTATAAAAAAAGAAAGTCTGATTTATAGATAATTTAAAAGTAGTATTAAGACAAAGCCACATATTAAGATGTGCTTTATGGGATGTTTGTGGGATTCATTTGTGTCTGTTGTTATTAGGCAACAGCAGGAGAGAAACTCCACTATTTTTATTGGACGACAAAAGACTGAATAAAGGTTTATTCCAGCACTCTGCCTTTTGTTCGGAAATGGTACACCTAATAAATTCAAAATGCTTCAAGATAGTAAAATCAAAGAGTGCAATATTTTACTAGTGATTATTTCCGTTTCCTTAAATATCACAAAGTTTTAAAGTGAAAAAATGATGATAAAATCTAAGAAATGAAAACATAACTCTATGAAACGTCAAATTTTCTTCTTGCTGTACAGTCACTTGAGGACTCAAGCCTGGTAAACGTACTATTATTGACTCTGAGATTGGATCTCCATGGTAACAGGCTGGAGGAAGCCTGCAATGGACCGTATCTAGCCTGCATCAGAAGCTCAAAATGCATAGCGCTAGACATAATCAAGCACACACACGGCAACACTAACACAGGAGAGCACACGGGAAAGGAGACTGAAGAAATTGGAGCACTTAAGCAGGAAAGGGACCAACAGGATGACATTTAAATGGATGGAGGTTTTGGTGGAACAAATGAGTTCATTTCTGCTGTTCTTGTTGCAGTTCAGACCTCCCTCTGGATAGAAAACGGAGATCCTGCTGAAATGACAGAGCGATGCCTGTTGAGAATTGTACTCTTCCCTGCTGAATTCCCTATTTCTGTAGGCCCAGGGCACCGACAGATAAAAGCAACAGGAAAACAGAGAGTTTAGTTATACACAATCAGCCCTGCTGCTCCCAATCAGTCAAGATGGTGGCAACACAGCATGACCAGGAGCAGAGGCACAGCTCCAGTGAATGTAAAAAACTTGCATCACACATTGGTGATATATATGTGTGTATGTGAGAGTAAAAGTAAAAGAAAAACAAAAAGGAAGAACATACTGAAGGTAACATAAGATAGAATTGAGGGAAAAAAATCAAGTTTAAGTCCTCTGTATGTTTTTGCAAAGCCTTACCAGCAGAAAATACAAGCATATCAGGACCTAAAATATAAATAATTCTGATAATCAACTTTTTATAGTGGATTAAATTAAATTGCCTGCTCAATCAAATCTGATAAAAAATAATGAGTTATGTATGGATCATTAGCGCACTTACACAAAGTCTAGCTGATGATACCTAGGCTCCTAACGAATAGTGTTACTTCTATAGTACACAGCTCTAATATAAACTTCTGCAGAGGCTGTCAAATGGCTCTGAAAGTGCATATTTACCAGGATCAGTAACTGAAACAGTTCTGAAGATGTTGCATTGTTTAAAACTTACAGGGCTAAAATCTAGTTATTTTCTATGTTAAATTAGCTCTTTGGGGACTTACTGTATGAATACTGCAAGTTCGGTTTTTTAAGTGATTCATTGGAGCCAACCTTTCATTTACTTGTAATTATATCTAAGTAACTATAAAATATGCCCCAACTTACCATTGATTTGCTTTAAAAAATGCATTTTGTCACGCTTTGTTCCCTGACGGGGGATTTCTAGGTGAAAAAAATGAACTTTAAACATTTTTTAATTGGCAGGTTATCATTTTAGATCACTTGTATATCCCTTACAAATGTAGTTGATGATGATGATGAAGTTATAAACATGTGGGTATATTTCTTATGTTTAAACTGTTTTTTTTTTTTCTCCATAAACTACAAATATTTATCCCCAATTACAGCTGCTGTCCAGCATTTCGTGCTGATGTTCAGACAGTTTTCACTTCATTGCTTTGCTGCTTCATTGCTGAAAAAAGCACAACTTAATGTAAAAAAAATTTATCGACATCTTAAAAGTTTTACATTTAGGTTATTTTCACTAATATCTCAACGCCTCTCCTTGGTCTATTAAAACTCAGCGAATCAATTTCACCCAATTATTTGAGCCGCTTCACTGATGCATTCAGAGTGAAAACTGATTCTTTGCACTTCCACTAAAGTACAAACATAGTGATTTTAAGTAAACTTACGAAATTACTTCTGACATCTTTTTCTCTTACCCACATCTTGTACAGTATATACTTTATAGGTTAACAGGAAAATGGAATGGAAATAGACAAACCTGTTTTTGTTTTCTAATTTCTAATCTACACTACCATTCAAAAGTTTGGGGTCACATTGAAATGTCCTTATTTTTTAAGGAAAAGCACTGTACTTTTCAATGAAGATAACTTTAAACTAGTCTTAACTTTAAAGAAATACACTCTATACATTGCTAATGTGGTAAATGACTATTCTAGCTGCAAATGTCTGTCTATCACTCCAGTGTTCTAATGGTACAATGTGTTTGCTCATTGGATCAGAAGGCTAATTGATGATTAGAAAAC